AAATTTTCAATTCATATTAAAAATCAAATGAATAAAATTAGAATGAAGAAAATGAATTCAAGTTTGGATACAATAAGAAAAAAATATTAATCTGTAATATATCATCACTCATCTGCATATAATAAATAAATTTTTCCATCTTCAACTACATATATTCAACACCAAAATTGCTTGATCCCATCTTCATTAAACGATCCTCTTTCTTTGATTTTTTTTTAAAAAAATCAATTGATCATCTTCAAGATCTAGAGCTTTTCAAATAAAGTACAATTATTGTTAATGTAGCAACATAAAACAAAAGAAAAATAGAGGAACTATGCACTTACATTTCCATGGATGAATGATAAGGATTATTATTGCTTTGACTCTCCTTTATTGAGATGCATTTTTTTTTTCACCAGAAAAATTAAAGAAAACACTGACTGAATTATATTGTTAAGTTTAATGAATGATACGGTTGAATTTTTTGGGAATAGGAAGTCAAGCAAGTGGGTGAGGAGTTTTAGAGACAGTTATTTGTAGTTGAAATTTTATTTTTTATTTTTAAAATATTTTTTTAAAAAAATGAATAGATAATTAGATAGATTTAGAGATTGTGTAGAAGTGGGAGAGTGACTGTGTATTGAACAGTTTTTAAACCGCAGATTTAAATTTAAATATGAATTAGTAAAAATAATTTTATAAGAAAATACATCAAAATTTCTAATTGGTTACTTATGTTTTTTATATGTTGAATTTTTTTTAAAAGAGTAGATGTTTATATAATAAAAAATAATTAAAGTTTTAAACTATTCCAGGAATGAAATGGTAACATAAAAGTTCTTATAATTTTATGTTTGTATAATAATATATTTATTTACAATTTTGTACATTGCATAAATATTGCTTTTAAAGTTAATAAACGGTAACTTTAAACTATTTTATATAACTGCTTTTTTTAAAAAAAAAATCTGTTTTATATTTTTATTTTCTCTTTTAAAATTGAATATATTATTTAAATCAACAAAAGATAATAAAGTTATCTAAATTGAATTTATTATTTAAATGAACTAAAGATAATAAAATTCAAGAAAATTGTAGTGCTGACACGTGTCATTTTTTCTTCTACTATTATAATAATAATAATAATAATAATATATATATATATATATATATATATATATATATATATATATAAAATTATTTTCATAAAACTCAAAATTAAAGAATCTAACTTGTATGTTAAAATATAACGTTTGTTTTTTTTTTATTTAAAAAACAACATAAAACTCAAAATTAAAGAATCTAACTTGTATGTTAAAACTAGATAATGTTGCCCGTGCATAACACGGGCCCAATAATATAAATGGTATGTTTTGGGGCTAACAACCGAATTTTTGAAGCGATTGTTTGCGTGGATAAAGGAATAAGTTTTTTTTATCACAAACCTGTACTTTCTTTGACGCTATTTAAGGCATAATAAGACTACCCACATACAACATTTTTGAAATATTTTATGTTATCAATTACCATGGTTTATAGTATTTTTACGATAGATTCATTTCAAGAATCAGTGGAATTTTTTGTATTTTTTTCAAAACATATTTTATGTTGTCAATTATCATGATTTATAGTATTTTTACGCAATTTTTAAATATAAAAAAAAACAAAAAAAAATAAGACAAATAAATTAAAATGGACCCAATATATGTTATTTTTGTTGTCTCAATTTATGTGACACAAATGAAATTTGGAGAGTCATCCAAATTTTCATATGTTTTTTTAAAAAAAATTAAGTTATTAATTATTGTGATTTATAATATTTTTTATGTAACTTTGAAATTACGTACATTACTGGTCACATTGTCTTAATTTATGTGATATGAATAAAATTACAAAATTAACCCTTTTAAAATATCTATATTTTAAGTTGTTGATTATTATTATTTATAATACTTTTTTGGTAATTTTAAAATGATATGTGTTATTTTTTCTGTTCCAATATATGTGAGTTTGATACAATTCTGAGAGTCAACCTATTTTATTATATAGCTTTTAAATATTTTAAATTGATAATTATTGTAATTTTTAATGCTTTTTAAGTCATTTGTAAATGATATATGTTGCTTCCTTGATTAGGACTTTTCCATTTGTGACATATATATATATTATTTTTAAAAGGGAGTTTATGCCCAAGTTCTACTATATAATAAATATAATATATAATATTCAAGAAAGTCCAATCTTGAATAATACTTGGGCATAGTAGAAATTTTAAAAGTCCCACAAGTATAATATATATTATTGAAGATTGTGAAAAGTTTCAATCTTGAATATTATATATTATAATTGGGCCTAAACTCCCTTTTATAATATAGTAGAATATAACGTAAAACAAAAATTCTAAGATTCAATTCTAAAACAGTAACTGTTTTCCCTTTAATAAAAAAATTAAATTAATTCTATTTAATTAGTTTATAATTTAAAAATTAAAATTAGAGATTAATTGTGCGCTGACACGTAGGCGCTATCACCTCTCCTATTATATATACTAGTAAAGAAAGCCCGGGCGCTGCCCGGGCCCAACATTAATAAAGTTATATTGTTACTCTCTTCGTCCCATATTAGATGAAAATCTTACTAAAAATATTTTTTCATATTATTTGAGCACTTATTAAATTAGGATAGAATTAATTAATTCTTTTCCATTTTAACCCTACAATTAATATGACCATTCATATATTGTATGTGTATTTTTTTATAACTTATTTCAATGTGCATTGATATAAACAAAGGCAAAATGGTGAAGTCTTCCAATGTATTAATGATTTCTTAATCACCGTGTAAAGTTGGAAGTGCCCATCTAATATGGGACAGAGGGAGTATAGTTTATGTATTGTTATAAAATTAGTAAAGATTGTTATAATATATTTTGCTCATAAGTGAGCTAATATAGAAACTTATTTGTCATTTGTCTTTTTAATTTCAATTTTAAATAGCAAATAAATGTAGCGATAAGATTGACGGTAGAAATGAAGCATATCTTTCTAAATTTAAGTAAAAATAAACAGAGTAGAAGTAACATTAGGGTTATCGTTAGGACGATTCATTTGGTTATTTTTAAAAAAAAATATATCATTCAATTTTTCGGCTATTTTATAATGTATAACCAAAATTAAAATTTTAAAATCATCTCAATCCTAATTTATGTGACAGAAGCACTACAAAAATTAGAGCCTGTTTGGATGGGCTTTTAAGCTGGTCAAACTGGCTTAAAAGCCAGTTTTTGACTTATTAGAGTGTTTGACAATTATCAAAGTGACTTATTTTAAGTCAAAAATGACTTATTTTAAGCCAAAAGCTAAAAGCTAGGGGAGGGGAGCTTCTTCTTTTTTTTAACTTAAAAACCTTTTTATGTTGACCAAGTATATTACCTTTTTGCCCTTAATTCTTTTATACAATTTCCAAATTGCCCATATTGAATTATTATTATTATTATTATTATTATTATTATTATTATTATTTTATTATTATTATTATTTTTTATTTTATTTTATTACTATTATTATTATTTTATTATTATCATTATTATTATTATTATTTTATTATTATTATTATCATTATTATTTTATTATTATTATTTTATTATATTATTATTATAATATTATATTATTATTATTATTATTATTATTCCTCTTGTAAATAGTTTATGGTGGTAAAGAAATATGTGATATTTTATTATTATTATTTTTTTTTATTTTATTTTATTACTATTATTATTATTTTATTATTATCATTATTATTATTATTATTTTATTATTATTATTATCATTATTATTTTATTATTATTATTTTATTATATTATTATTATAATATTATATTATTATTATTATTATTATTATTCCTCTTGTAAATAGTTTATGGTGGTAAAGAAATATGTGATATTTTATTATTATTATTATTATCATTATTATTATTATATTATTATTATTATTATATTGTTATTATCATTATTATTATTATTATTATTATTATTTTATTATTATCATTATTATTTTATTATTATTATTATTTTATTATATTATTATTATAATATTATATTATTATTATTATTATTATTATTCCTCTTGTAAATAGTTTATGGTGGTAAAGAAATATGTGATATTTTATTATTATTATTATTATCATTATTATTATTATATTATTATTATTATTATATTGTTATTATCATTATTATTATTATTATTATTATTTTATTATTATCATTATTATTTTATTATTATTATTATTTTATTATCATTATTATTATTATTTTATTATTATCATTATTATTATTATTTTATTATAGTATTATTATTATATTATTATTATTATTACTTATGGATGTAAAATATAAATTAATTTTGTTTTAATTTTTTTTTAATGTATAAAAACCTTAAATTAATCAACTTTTCATCATGTTAACAACTTAAAGGGTATTTCAGACATTTTGATAAAAAAAGTGTTTACCAGCACTTATTTGCCAAACACATTAACAATTTTTTTTTCAACTGTAACACTTTTATCCAAACACATAACTACTTATTTTAAAAATAAGTTCCAGCACTTTAAAAAGTTACCTTTTTTAAGTCAATCCAAACGGGCTCTTAGTCTTTTTTTTGTTGTCTTGTAGATATTTTAAGTTATTATTTATTGTAAATTATAGTACTTTTTATTAAAGTTTTTAATAACATATGTTACTTTTTATGTTTGAGAGTTGAACCAACTTTTTTTTATATGTCTTTTAATTTTATATGTGTTTTGTCCTCTTCCATTTTGAAAAACCATTACTCTCTCCATTTTATTTTATATGTCATTTCTTTTTATAAATATATTGGTTATTCCCTCTTCTTATTGGAACACATGTTGACTTGTGGTGAATACTTATAGTAATATATATATAGATTAGGACATAATAGGGGTATTTGAATATAAGTACTGAAGACGAGGGCACTGGATACATCAACATTTTCCTCAGCAAAGGGGGAGCTCTAGATAAACAATTTGCCCATTGGACAAAAGCTACAGGTGAAGCAATAGTTAATTGCTTTCCTGAGATTTGCTAACAGCTAGCCTAGAAAAATAAGGGGGAGGCTGTGAACGAACTGAACCAACAAATTTTCTAAAAATGCAGATGGAAAGAATATGAGAGCACAGGGAAGGCACAACTATGGCCTATAGGACTGGAAGTTCCCAGCAGATAATACACATACAACAATTTGAAGTTGAGCAACTCCTCTACAAGTTGAATCTCCTACAACATACTTCTGGAAGGTAACCAATCATAGATTTGTGTCCATGGGATAGCAGCCAAGAACTCGAATGAATCCTGCAAATTCCTGCATTGAAGAAACATTAAGAGATTTAGAAATGTGGTGTTCAAATCCTGCCAGCATGGCAGACCATAATATACAAGCTGCAAAGAGAGTATATGAGTTCAATCTTGTTGCCCAGAACTCTAAAAACAAGAAGGCAACATCTGATGTTGATATTAATAAATAGTAAATGCATTTGGAAGATCAAGTGACGAACAGGTGGCACAAGATAGCAATTTCAACAGCAACAAGACAACACATGTAGATGGTAATAGAGCTACCTTAGCAACTTGTTTTCTGGCTGAGGGGTCATATAAGAGATAGTTGTACTAACCTGAAGATGCTCAAGAGCATATTGAGCGCGAGGGTCTGCCATCGATGCTTCAAAGTCTATGTAAAAAAGGTAGTCAAAGTACCTGCCATCAAAATTTTGTCACTTTCTTAAGTTCCACAGCAACACGAGTAGGCCAAGTTCAAATATACCCTAGCCATGAGAAGAGGCAACATGTGCCGGTGTGTAAACATAAAGGATCATCTTGCACTTGTCTCTTCAGCCAGAAAAATTAAGGGACTGGAGCTACTGGATGTTGTTCAATCTTGCTATGACTAAACAACATCTATGGTTTGGAAAAGTGGGAAAGAAAATATTTTATAATAAAGAGAAGGTAGTATTGTGAAATAAATATATGGTTTGAAAAGGAAGTGGTGAGGAACTAAAGATGGTCACATTAATGGGTGCAGTTATCCTAATTCTTTTTCTTCTTCCATTAAACAAGGATGAACACAAATTCAAAACTTCCAATTCCACCCTTCTCTTCCCCAGCAAAGTGAAAAGGATAAACAAACACAGCCATCTCAATGACTTGTGCGATACCCTTTGTTTTCAAGGCACTTGAACTATTTTTTTTCTTTTTTTTTTGGCTAAGCTTTAGGCACTTGAACTATATATGTATGTGTGTGTGTGTGTACCTTTGACATGTTTGACAAACAGAAAATTAGAAGTACACTATGCTATCAAGGACCTCTATAGTAGCATATCAAACCTATACCAGACGAAAGGACTAAATTCACTAACTTATAGATCCATCTTTCCCCCAAATTATGCTGCTTTATCTACATTCTTCAGTAATCACAACCTTGACGAAGAATTGTGGGCATGGAGTGGGACAAGGTCATAATAACGAAGATATTGTAGGAGAGAGAGAACCAGTTAAATGCACCTAACAACAATTTTTTTATTTTTTTTTCAGAATTGCAAATGAAACAAAGGAAAATGTTTGATGGGAAATGTTTTCCCTAGAAGTTTTCTTCAAAAATAAGTAGTTAACTTACTTATTTTTGTTGTTTGGTAAGTAAGCAGAAAATATTGTTCTAAAAACATTTATACATAATCTAGGAAAATACTATGGGATGGGTGTGGGGATAAAGGTGGGCTGGTGGGGTGGAGGATTACAGTGGTTGGGGTGTTAGGAGTGTGGAGGAGATAATGAGTGTGCATTGACACTTATGGAACTTGTTTTCCCTACTCCCACCAAGAAAGTCATTTTCCTAAAAAAATATTTTTCAGAACATTTTGACCAACCTAACACGAGTAAATTGGAAAACATTTTCTGTAAAATGCTGTCCTCCCTACCAAACACACCCAAAAAGATGATTTTTACATAATCACTTTTTTCTTTAAGAAGAAATTAGCTAAGTTGTGGGCATAAAGCCAACTTTGAATGTTGAGAGAACTATTATATCAATCAATCAACTATGGTCAATTCCAAACTAGTACGAGTCGGCTAGATGAACCTGATATATCCATTCCACTCTATTCACGAATTCAATATTCAGAGGATTCACAAACAATATTGAATTCAAGAAGGCCACCATCAAACTCAATACATCAACTTTTACATTGTCTTTTAACCCACTGAAACCCTTCTCTATTTGGATGTGGGATTAGCTGTACTTTGTGAAACTCATACACGGGGAGTTCAAGCTTATATTTCTAAGAAAAAATTAACTGAATAGCGATAACAAATAATGGTAATGGAAACCAGGGATTATAAATCAAAGATATCCAGAGCGGAAAAGATAAATAAAACAAAGCCGACATGGTTTCAGTCAGTTACTATTCCACAGTGCTTAGTGCAATAAACAGATTTAAGACTCACTTGGCACTTCCTTTGTTGGAGTCATCTACTACCCTTAAAGGGCGCTTCTTTTGTGGTCGGCTCTCGATCTGTATGAATGCAACAGAACATGTATCAGAGCCTTTTAACTAGAGAAGGGTACTACAAAATATTTCCAACAGAAATACCTTTGTTAAATTGATCTCTCTCAGAGCAAAAACTGCCAAGGCCTTGAATAGAACTCCAGGTCCTTCTTCCAGAGTGAAGACAATGCTAGTCTAGAAAATGTTGGGGAAATGAAAAGGGAACATCAATTCTTTGAATGAACAAAATAAGTTCGATAAAGAAGAAATATGATATTACCTTATATGGCCTATCAGTTCCCGAAATTATGGGCTCCCTTGCTAGTATCAGAAATCTGGTGATATTATCTGGATCATCCTGGTTATTGGGTCATTCAATTAAAATCACATTACTGAAGTTTCACAGCAGATTATAGCAAATAGATTTGGCTAATAGCTTTGCAGTTTTTAGCTGCACCAGCTTGGTCAAGAGTAGAACCAAGTTGATAAAGACGCTAAAGCAGAGAAAAGACTTATAAATTAAATATCTTCTATGGTTGAGAACTAATAGGTCTCAGACTGCCTTAATAACTATGATGTTCGGTGTCCGATACAAGTGTAGATCTAGAGGCCAGATTCGTCATCACATAAATTTTAGGACTTGACAAAATTATTGTAATAGCTTTAGTCAACAATATAATTTGACTCAATTTCTATTTAATTAAGTTAAATGGCTGTTGATTATTGTGTAATTATGACGACTTTTTACGTTTAATTAGTTAAATATTCAAAGTTGACTAGTTACTATTCAACTCCATTGATGGGGATAAGGCTTAGAATTCGACACGTGTGCAGTGGCATTTTTGGAGGATCCGACTTAGCTTAATAAGGCAGTCGTAGTAATAAACACAAAGACGCATCATTCTAAAAACTTCTACTAGCCCATCCCATTGTTGTCAACGACGCGCTTAAGCCCTAAAGCGAGGCTCAAATTTGATTTTGACAACACTGACCCATCCAGACAAGTTTTAATTGTTATTTTGTAACTGCACAAACCAAAGACTTCTTCTTCACATTCTGAAATCCACATACTTCCATTCAAAGTATCCAAAGCAGATATGAGGAAGAGAAAATTCAGGAGGGAAAAGAGAAAAGCATGTAGAAATAAGAGTACCAATATTCCCCTAATCTCCTACAGCAGAACACAGAGCAAAAAATGAAGCTCGAAGGTTTCAAATACAGCTATGATTTTGAACTCAAACTTAGAACCATTATTATCTGCAACCAAAATACCTATATTGCTGCTGAGTTTATGACAAGGAAGATATTAGTGATCCTGGAATAACCTTGCCATACCCCAATCACCATCTTCGTGGTTTAACTATTTTTTCACTGGTCATTGACCTACCATACTCCTAATTTATCTGGGTTCACAACCAGCTAGGCGAAGCATACAAGGGTGGAATTGAGCCCAAACACGTACAGATATGAAATATTATAGCAGACTGGTTCACAGTTGAAATTGCTTCTGAAAAATCATTCTTTATTTTCCCAGGTTTACCAAAATGAAACATCCTAATTTTGACACCATGCAATTTCCTTAAAGGAAATGTATTTGCTGCTCATTACAGGCTGGATGAGCAGTAAAATGAAAAAAAATTCTTTATAAGCCAAGATTAAATCAATAAATATCCATGATCTGTTTCTTCATCATTCTATTCCATCCATAAATTAAAAACAAAGAATAAAAAAAATCCATCCATCCATCCATGTTGCTAGCTCTTAATTTTGAAATTGCTTATGGTTCCATGTGAAGATAGAGACAAGGAGTGAGCAAAGTCAGCAAACTATACCTTCTGGAAACCACATATCACATTTATAACAATTCTTAGATAGGGATAACTACAGTGAGGGGAAACGAAAAGACCAGAAACTATCGTAGGTTGCCCTATCAAAGATACGCCACAATCTTCTAGAAAATTATTGGTCGATATGCAAACTATGCAAATGCTATTATTTTATGAGCGTGTAACCACATTGGATATTCATACACTCAAGTCATGAGTGCCCACAACGTTGGTGACGTGGGCTCAAGAAATAAATTATTTAAAAGACAATCAAGTGCAATTTCAAAAGATGCAATATTACATGGAGTAAATACAAAAGGGAGAACCTCAGAACTGCAAAATCCTAACCTGAATTCTTTCAGCAAGAATGCTGAGCCCGTAAATCTCTGCAGCTCGAGCACTTGCAACTGCTCCAGTATCTCTCGTCCCTTCAGATGCGACAATCTGTTGAGGTGTCAAATAATGTGGAAATAAAACCCGCTGTGGATGAGAAAATTTAATGGAATACCTGTGCAGCACTGGAAGTATCATCACTACTGAGCCTTGCAACGCCTAACTCATTCAACATAATGTTGCATTGTTCAAGTGCCTGAAAGCAAGTAATGGTTGTACTAGCATTTACCAAGTAGAAATGGAAGCAATATATATTTGATGTGCAAAACTAAAGGAAGTAACTGTTTCTATTTTAATTTATCATAAAGGAACTCGTGTCTAACTCAAACCCAAAAGCTAATCCAATATTTCTACATCTTTTTAGAATAACGAGGAGAAACATCAATTCTTCTGAATAATGAAATGAAACAATAACCTGAGGGTGGCTCACGACGCGCTTTAATTCCTCTTTCCTGATTCCTGGCAAGCCCAAAAGGCAGTGGTTAACAAGCAACTGAACTTCTCCCACAATATGCAGCCTATGCCGAAGGAGTAGATCGTAGTTACGGTGGATGCTCCCAGCAACTGAATTTTCGATTGGGAGTACAGCTTTGTCTACTAACCATAATTCAACTGCCTGATAAATGAGAACTAAAACTATAAAGGTGTGAAAAAATGCAAAATATCTTCAGGAACAAAATCACTTTGGTTTACAAACACAAATACCTTAAATGCAGCCTCAAACTGATCACATGGGACAGGTTCACATTTCGGGTATGCTTTAAGTGCAGCTGCCTCACTATATGCACCTGGAATTCCCTATGTTAGATAAAAAAGATTAGTTCATAAGGAATCTCACTTAAGAAAGAAGTTAAGAAGTTAAGAGCATGGAGGTCCTTGTCGTCTACCTGATAAGCAACTCGCACATTTGAACCATCATGTTGACCACTAGAAAGATATGTCGCAGATAAGGGTTCTGCAATGAAAAAGAAAACGCGTGCTTCATGATGTAGACAAAATGGAACACAAGAATTGAATTTACCAAATATTTATTGCGTTGGGATATTTAGCCAACGGGTTTTTTTGAGGTTTCATCCATGACAAAATATACATTACTATTAACCTATTATCTTCCATGATAGTTGTGGAGTAAATGAAATCTAAACACAATGTTTTCTACCATATATTTCTTTTCTTGTTCACTGTCAACAGAGGCAACAATTTGAAATTATATTTCCTTCTAAGTTAAGTAGCTTTAGGGGATGGAAAACACCAAGTAACAAATTTGGAGAAAAATGTCAAATGCACGTCACAGGAAGAAACACCATGACACAAAAATGGCACTCAGCAGGAATTGAACTACAGTTTTGCTTATGCGTTCGGCAGAACCCATAGCTTTGGCCCAGAACCTGTATTTGTGTTTAAACATTCACTCAATTGTACAAATAATTTATCCAAAACCCAAGAAACTGCTTTATCTCTAATCTACAACCCATAAACTTAAAATCGTGGCTCCCACTTTTCGCACTCAGGCAACACCCTATTAGCAGATTCTTGCACAGACTGTCACATGTTATGTACAAAATATAAGAGAGCCCATAAAAAGAAAGCTAATTATCACGCACATAATTGGATCTTTAAGACAATGACATGAACTAAAAAAGGTTACAACTTTAGGCAAAGATCAATCTTTTCATCCAATTCTACCTTGTTATAACCACAAAAGACCTCCATCTTTAGCATTCTATAAAGGGAAGAAAAAAAACAAGTCTTTTCTGATTCTGTTAGAATCCCACCAAAAGTACTTCATTATTATTCTAAATTTATCTCAAAACCCTATTAGACATTAAAAAAAAAATCTGAAATCACACAAACTAAATTAACAAAACATTGACAGAAAAAAACCCAAAAAAAAAACTAACTTGGTAAAGATTGTAAATCCCTATGAAACCCTTTTGACTGGATGATTTGGGTTTCTTGAACAGAAGCATCCCCAGGTGGTGCCAATGGCTGTTCATCTTCCACAGGAGTGATAGCTCTTTCAGTCTCAGATAACAAAACCAAACATTCCCATTTCTTATGGGCCCTGAGATTCAAGAAAGTTGATCCAGAAAGCCTACACCCATACCCCAATTTCAAAGATTGAGGATAAGTACAACAATGCTGCTGATTGGTACAACATGCCCAAATTGGCACAAGTTTCAAAGCCATGGTTTAAGTGTACCAATAGTCCCAATGTGTATAAGCATATAAATTCAGACACATCAGACAGTGTTGTATGTTGTTTTTTTTTTAATGAAAACTTCAATCCATCAAAGGCGGATTCTTGGAAAAACTGAGGAGAAAATGTAGAAACGGTGGGGAAGTAGGTAAGCAGAATGTTGGCAACACGTTTTCAATTGTGTTGAACTTAAAAAGAAGAGGAAAAGAGTATTAAATGTTATATTAATTTCAATTGTGTTGAACAAAAAGAGGAAAAGAGTAATAAATAGTAAGTATATTATTAGTACTACTGATATCAGATTTCATTAAAAATAAAATCTATTTAAGCTCATTGTTTTTAGTGGGGTGATTATTAGAGAGTGTCAGATATTTAATTTATCGTGAATTATTAATTTCATTTTCAAATTATTGATAGTCTTAAAAACATTTATTTACTTAACTGAATGAACTTATATCCATGATTTTGTAACATGAGTAAACTACACTCCTAAATTCTCGTTAAGCTTAGGAGTTGTTTTCAATATTTCTCTTGAATTTTTATTAAGAGTTAGCTTCATGCTTCTACAAGAATTTAATATCACTTGCTATATCTTTTGCAAATTGGGTGTAAACCTAAGTTTAGTTAGTCAAGTAGAATGATGTTTTTAAAACTGTCAATAATTTAAGGATAAAACTAATAACTCACATCAAATTTAGGGTGTTTTAAATACTTCTCCCCTAATCTAAACTACATTGTATTATCACTAGCTTCCACTTTTATTTTGTTAGGTAGTAGGTAAAATTTCAAAGATTTATGTCATCAGTTTCTCTTTTATATTAAAAAAAAAAAAACTTAGAGAAAGGAATATTTCCAACAAGTCTTTTTTTTTTCTTTTTTTTAAGGAGGATCAGGGTTGGGTAACCTTTTCTTTTCATGTTTGAGGTTAAAAATAATGATAAAAAAATGAAATTGAAGCGATATCTATACGCCAAAGCTAGTGTAGAGCTAAACGTATTCAATTTTAGTTAAGATCTTTATGAAAACTTCTTGATTTCTTTATAAATAAATATTTGAAAGTTTATATAGGATATTCGAGATGACTCTCAAAAATGAAATAAAAGCGACGTCTATTCGCCGAAGTTGGTGTAGTTAAATGCTTCAAAAAGATCTATGAAATCCTCTTTACATGGTTATCAATAAATTCTAAGAAGGTCCAAATCATTACGTATGGAGAAAAGAGAAGAGTCAAGAGAACAAACAGGTATGTATTCGTGTTATTTTATCAATATATTATGTTTCTTCATATTTTATTTGTAATTTCAATTTATTGTCTGCCACATTAAAATTTATTGCAAACAACTGAAAATAAGTTAAGGAACTTTTAACAAGTCTACCAAATAGAAGATGATACACGCCACCCTTTCATGACTTCAAGTTCTTTTCTTCATAGTCAAATCTGATGATACTATCAGATAAAAGACTTATAAAGTGATTGAAATCGCTTAGGTTATTCCCCATAACCACTGCATATTTTAATGGAATACTGAATTTATGAATTCAATACTCTAAATATGAATTGAATATCATACTAAATACTCTATTTCTTAATTGAATATTATACTTATTTTAGTTTAGAATTAAGTATATAATTGTGTTTTGTATGAATTAAATATTGAAGTTTCTAAATGAATATTGTAATTTTGTAGTGAATACTTTATTTCCAAATTGAATACTATAGTTTTGGATAAAATATTGCACGTCTGAATTGAACATTATAAATTCGAATTGAATACTTTGTGTCTAAATGCAGTTTTTATAAATCTCCTCAAAATTTTGAAGAATAATGGAGGAATTTCTAAGAAACCATTTTGAGAAAAAGTGGAGATATGGTGGTGTTAAAGTCGTGTATACATCTTCATAAATCTAATTAATGCTAAATTTTATGAATTCTATTTTCATTAGGCTTGGTATAACATTCGTAGAATAAAATGGTACAATAATAACAACATATCCAATCTCCTAGAGGTTTGAGAATGATTGAATATACGTAATTTATTCTTACCTTAATGTTGAATCTTGAAAGATAGAAAAATTGTTTTTGATAGGCCTTCAGCTAAAAATAAAACATGTCAAAATAGATTGAGAAAAGAAATAACATGAGTGGAGAAGTCGTGACATAATTCTACAGAAAACATGTTAAAGAAACATGAAGAAAAAAAACAAATGATACATAATTGAAGTGCAAGGATCAATAGCTAATAACAAACATCAAAGGACAAGGAACTCCCTAAATAATATACAATTACTAGCATGAAAAGATAACTGAGACAACATTTTACAATCTACCAACTTTTCACCCTAACTTGTGTCCTTTGCCACAATCTCATATATATGGTCATGTCCTTGATAAGCTGATATTGCGTCATGTCATGTCTAATCACTCCTATTCGATCCCCGATAATTTTTCAACCTACTTCTACCTCTCATAAAACTATCCATAATTGATCAACCCCTCAAACCTCTCACATTAGAGATTCGTACATCTAGTCTTCACATATTCATTCCATTTCAACCTTATTTTCCACATCTTTTCTTCCTCCTAGGTATCTTCCTCTCCATTCTTATCTATAACTATATTGATTAAATTTCAGCAATTATATTGATTTAAATTTTTAGCATGCATATCAATTTTTACTTTATATTTTAAATTAAAAAAAAAAAAAGAGTTGAATTATTTTTTCATAACAAATATTAAAAATTGTTCTTTCATTTTATAATACTAAAATGTAAAATAAACTTTTGATATATATATTATAGATGTCGTTTTTTATATTTTGAAATTCAAAAGCCTTCTGAATAAACTAGTCAAACACAATCTCAACTTCAAATACTAAAAAATTACTTCACAATTATCTGAAAACTTATTCGCACTCAATATTTATATCATACCAATCAATACAATGTGTTTGCACCAAAGACTTCTAGCCCTTTCAGTACCCTTTTAAAATCACTTACGTATAACAAAATTAATAACATGATTTGATCATTTAAACACTCGATGTGAACAAATTAATACGATTTCTCTCTAAGAACTTTAAAGATATTCGGTTTTTTGTTTAATTTACAATTAACTTAACCATTAATTATATGGTTAATAGATTTGATACTATTTAGTATATAATACTAATATGTTAGACAATGTAATATTGTATGGTTAAAAAGAGATAATTCTACAATCATATCGTTATCATCAAGGCTTCCAATTTTGGTTTGTATGTGCTAACATTTCTTTAAAGTCATATGGGAATTAAACAAATTTTTAAAAAAGGCTAATGAACAATAGATGAATGCTACTCCTAAAATTGAATGCAATCAATCAATCCATTATTTTTCTCATTTCAAAATGTAGTGCTATTGTTGGGTTAATTAATATAAGCAGTGGATTTGTTAGTGCTTTTATTTGGAATTTAGTGGAAATTGGAAGATGCTTAGCCAAATTCACCTCGTGACTTGTGATATACCAACTAACTTCTCATATAAGGATTAATACATATATCATAGCAAAATTTGTAAATACATTTCATTCAAATAATTAAATTATGATAGATTGTAATTGAGCATTTGAACACATGATATAGTACGTATATTATATGAAATATTTTTGGTTCAAATTCTGCACGTGTTCTCAAATATTCATTACATAAATTTTATAAGAAGTGAAGTACGTACAAAGGTTGGGTTATGAGGGCAATAAGGGCAAAGGTGAATATGAGAAGAGTTGGAGTGGGGAGGACACAATTAACGTGAAACGTATTTTTTCCTACTTTCACTAAAAAAGTCAATTTCCACATTTTAAAAAACTTATTTCTTTCTAAATATTTTGATCGATCAAACATAAAAAATTAAAAAATATTTCTATCTCCAGCATACCAAACACACACGTCATCACTATATATATTTTTCTCATCTCTCATCTATTCGGGCCGTTTGGCATAAACAAACCAAAACACTTTACACTTGATTTATATAACTTATTTTATTCAATGTCAATCAAATACAATTACGTTATTATCAATATCAATTCCAAAGGTTGTGGCTAACTTTCTAATAAAGTTGAATTAACAATAAGAAATAAATTATTTACTGTAATCTTCAAAGTGATATTATCATGGATATTCAAAAGGTTTTGGAGGCCATATTATGTTTTCAAGTTTCTTCAAAATTTTGAAAAGAACATTATTATAAGTAACATTTATTAGTAGTTGGAATTATTAGCCATGCTTGTACCACAAAACGTGGACTTTTAGGTATATGAGACAAAATCCTTTTTGCAATCTTTGTATTATGTCGAATGAGATAAGTAAAGATATTTTATGAATTGAAATATTTTATAGGATTATTTTATCTCATTTTTATGCGGAATAATAATCTCATCATTTTAATATAAGTGGTGGAGTAAAAATAATTTCAAAATTAACTAATACCTTAAATCAAATATGAGATAAAAAAGTTAACATTAAATTTTATCATGATATTATTATTTTTACCCCCACATACAAAGCGACCTTGTAGACATTGAAGGTAATAAACAAGGACATCTCACATTTTATATGAGATAATAATTTGATAAGATAATCTCAAGATTAGTTGATACATAAAATCTATGACATAAATTAATTTCAGATTTAATTATACATGCCACATACCAGCAAACAATCATCAAGGTTTGGTATGCAAATAAAGTGAAATAATGATTAGGACTAAGTTTGAGATTAAATTTATATTGATTTTGAATTAAATTATATCGTCACCTAAACATGGTATAAATTTAGTCTTAAAACTTGAAAATGTTTTATCCTGTCTTCTATGTAGGATAAATTAGTCACAGTTTACTATTGACTTGGTACACACCTTAAGAAACAATAAATAATAGAGGTAATATTACTATATTATCTTTTGATATATCTTTTGACAAGTATTGTTGAATAACTATTTTTAATATAATTAACAAGTAAATATAAACGAAGAAAGTATTATAGTTCCAAGACTACAAATTCAAAC